CAGACTCACACACACACACACACACACACACACACACACACGCAGACGCTCGAGGTCATGTGACACGAGTGTGTGTGTGAGGCTCGTAAAGAGAGAGTGAACAGCTGCAGGGTCTCTCACACAACAGACAGATACTCAGACGAGTCATGAGAGAGGAATTCTGTCGAACAAACACACACACAGCTCTGTGTAATCCAGTCACACGTAAACACAGAGTCAGTCTGTCCGTCTAAACACGTGTGTGTGTGTGTGTGTGTGTGTGTGTGTGTCAGGCGCTCCAGCCGCACACGGGACCCGGACCCGGATAAGAGCTGCCAGTTCCTGATGGGTCAGGGTGAGTGTGACGTCCTCTGATCAGGAATGTGTTATACCGCGGTAAATCTGTCGGCTCTCAGCGCTGGTTTGTGTTGTTGACATGTGAGAGTGCTGCAGACACATGAGCGGTCGCGCCGTCACCAGACAAACATGCTGTTAGAGTTCACATGAGTTTAGCTGTGTACTGTTGCCAGGCACCGGCCTGATGCATTGCTGCGGACTGAGACTCTTTAAATGTGCTTCATGTGGCCACATGTGCATGACCTGTTTGTATTATTATTATTTTGACTAAGCTCAAAAATATGAATTAACACTAATAAATTCACTTCAACGTAAGGTTACATCAACAAAAGTAATTTTTAAGTATTCGATCACGTAGCGAAAAACTAGTGTTCTAAAGGTCTGAACATGTGTGCAGCTAACCCTAAAATAAGTAATGTACATTTATAAAATAAATACAAATAATAACATGCAGCAAAAATACTTTATATTATTTTATATAATTAAATATTATTTATAATTGCCCTATAAAGTAAATAATATTTACATATAAAATTAAAATAATAAATAAAAAAAACATAATAGTTTACATATTATTTTTGATTATTAAATATTATTTACAAATGACAAGTAATATAATAGCATATTTACTTATAAAAAGTAATGATAAACAAGTTTTGTATATACTTTTTTAGATAATTAAATATAGTTATGTCTAAATAACGATTTCAGTTGTAGTACATCTAGTACATTCAGTATATTTTAGTAGAGATGCCTTCATCCAAAGCAGCTTAGAAATGAGGAACACAACCCTGAGAAGAGCTCATACGGTTTCAGACATTGTTCAGATGTTTTGTTGTGGTTGTGGTTTAATTGTGTGTGTGTGTGTGTGTGTGTATGTGTGTGTGTGTGTGTGT